CCCCAAAACCCCAAAACCCCAAAACCCCAAAACCCCTTTTAGACAACATTAAGTTAAGGAGCAAATCATTTAGACATCAAATTTGATTCCTTGTGCTAATGGCAAGCTTGTAGAGAAGTTGACAGTACAGGTGCTTCTTCTCATGTATTGCTTCCAAGCATCTGATCCGGATTCTCTGCCACCACCAGTCTCTTTCTCTCCTCCGAAGGCTCCACCGATTTCTGCACCGCTAGATCCAATGTTGCAATTGACAAGACCACAGTCAGATCCGAGTGGGCCAATCCACTTGAAGTAGTTCTTGAGATCATTTGTGAACAGAGATGAGCTAAGTCCTTGTGGAACATCATTGTTGTACTTAATAGCTTCATCAACATCCTTAATCTTAAACACGTAAAGGATTGGAGCAAAGGTCTCGGTCTGTACAATCTCTGAATCCTTGTCAATCTCAACTATGGTTGGCTCAACATAGTTTCCATCACCTTCAATAACATTACCTCCAGTCAATATCTTTCCACCTTGGTTCTTGATTTCTTCGATGGCGTTCGTGTAGATTTCTACCCCAGCTTTATTATGGAGAGGTCCAACAAGAGTGTCATTGTCAAGGGGATCTCCGATCTTCACAGTTGAGTATGATTTCACCAGCTTTTCAACAAAATCATCATAGATATTGTCCTGAAGATAGATTCTTCTCAAAGATGTGCATCTCTGGCCACAAGTACCAACTGCAGAGAAAGCACATGCTTTAAGAGCCATATCAACATTAGCATCATCAAGGATGATAACAGCATTGTTTCCTCCTAATTCAAGGATTGTCTTTCCAAATCTTTTGCTGACAGTATTTCCTACGATTCTTCCAACACGAGTGGATCCTGTGAATGAAACCAGAGGAACTCTCTTGTCATTGGTCATAAGCTCTCCAACCTCTTTTCCAGTTCCTTGACAGAGACTTACAACAGAGTTGAATCCGTTTTCCTTTAAGACGTCAGCAAAAATCTTTGCAGTAGCAATAGATACTAATGGAGTTGTTTCAGATCCCTTCCAAAGCATAAGGTCTCCGCAAACGAGTCCGATACATGCATTCCATCCGAACACAGCACATGGGAAGTTGAAGGCAGTGATAACTCCAACAATACCCAATGGGTTCCAGCATTCAAGCATCATATGTCCTGGTCTCTCAGATGGTAGTACTTTACCTTCCAAAGATCTAGATAGACCGCAAGCAAAGTCGCAGATATCAATGACTTCTTGTACCTCACCATCACCTTCAGCTTTGATCTTACCCATTTCAAGTGCGATCAAAGATCCGAGTGCGTCTTTCTTCTCTCTTATTTTCTCTCCGATCTGTCTGACAATCTCTCCTCTGGCTGGGGCTGGGAGCATCATCCAGGCTGCCTTCTCTTCTTCCATACTCTTAATGCACTCTTCGTAGTGATCAGCAGTTGCTAGCTTGGCTGTAGCAGTAATTGAGTTGTCGTGAGGACTGACACTGTTGACAGTTTCCTCCCCCGACTTCCACTCACCATTAGTGTAGCAGCCAAGGCTCTCCTTTTCAAGTCCAAGCTCAGCAAGGAATGGATATTTGTCGAAGTTAAGAGACTCCATTTGATTAAATTTTTATTAAGAAATCTTATTAAATATCTAATTTCTCTCGTTTTTCTCCATTCTAATCAATGGTGAGGGGTTTTGGGGTTTTGGGGTTTTGGGG